AAAGGGAAAAGTAGGGCCAGGGATATAGCTCAGCGGCACAGTGCCTGCCTGGCAAGCGCAAGGTCCTTGGTTCAATTCCCGGCACCAAAAAAAAGGTGTGTGTGCATCCGGGGGTGGGGGGGGAGGGGCGCAGGGATAATCCCTGGAGGCTTAAACCATTCAAGGTCACAAAATAAGCAAAAGAGCTGGGGTCAAAGTGGAGCACAGTGGGCCACTGTACGTGTTCTGACATAATCCAAGCCCTCCGTGGGAGCTCAGTGGCCCACGAGAACAGTGCTTCCTATACCTTCCCTCAGATGCATCCTTGCCTGGAGCCTGGTGCTACTCTCATGAAGTGACCACTTGCTCTACAAATTCTAAGTAAATTCTAAACAAACAGATCTGTACTGACTCCCATGCTCCCCATAGGATCTGGCAGCACAGTTGCATTACCTCAAAAAAGAGTAGGAGTTTCTGCCTGTCCATGTCACTTTCCCCATGGCAATGTAAGCCACTCCACGCAAGAGCAATCCCTAGGAAGACACCACTGACCAGACACAAGCACGACTGAGGGGCAGGCAGGCCACAGGTATCACTCGACCTCCACCGAGAGGTCCATGAACCAAAGACAAACATCACAGGCACTTCTGTAAACTGTAGTAACTCATACATCATTAAGAATAACCCTGGAAAACATCTGTTGCCCCAAAAGCTCTCCCTTCCCATTTAACTGTCCCCCATTATTAATATAGTGTGAACAGCATGACTTAGAATTCCACTGTATACCACTGTGTACGGGCTACAATTTCAAAATCTTTGGTCCAAAAATTAACCCTGCAAACTGAGATCAGGAACTCTGTTTTATTCTTTTATATGTGAACATTATCTAGGGTCATTTCACATTCATGAGAGATGCCCAATAAATCCTTAATTAAGGAATCCGAAAAGCTATTAGGATATTTATTGGACACAGCCTCATTCAATAAAGAGTATATTTTACTGGTGCTTTTTACACAAATATGTTCTCCTATTGCAAGAAAGCCTTTAACGCATCATTTTACTGGTATAAAACCCAGTAAAGGAAAAGTAAACACAAACCTTTTGTTCAAACTACATAGTTTGGGAAAGGGAAAACATCAGCTTGTGGGAAAAACTTTGATTGCTCCGGGAGGGTAACAGCATAATGACTTCATATGCTTGGTTTAGCTGTAATGAATAGTTCAGACAATTCACACCCAGGCTCTGATATCTTAACTACTGGTAAGGGTATGTCCTGTATCAGATTATAACACTGAGCAAATACATTCTCTTAAACTCATTAAGTTGTCATGGGCATTCATGCAAGAAGCATTTATTAAACTTTGTGTACTTGGCACAACACACCTTGGGGAAAGAAAGTTTATAGAGATCTTGACCTTGTAATTGAGATAAAATCCTACAAGGAAACAAAGCTATTTATGTACCAATCAGTTCAGCACATAATATAAAGTCAGCTGTCCAAGACAGACCTCAAGGACAATGATAATATCATTTAAAAGCATCACTGTGGATGTGGTGGTGGTACTTTTTCGCTGTGCATGGTCCTGGGGATTGAACCCAGGGTATTTGAACTGGGCTATATCCCACCCTCTTCTTTTTTTTTAGACAAGGTCTCACTAAGTCCCTGTGAACTTGAGATACTCCTATGTCAACTTCCTAGAGTACTGGGATTACAGGCATACACCACCACAACGAGCTGCTAGTGTTTTCTATGAAACTATCTGAAATTTATAGCCATCTGAATTTAGTCTTTTACCGTATGTAGATCTCAGGATCTGGAACATTCACTGGATCTGTAGGCACCTCAGAGATGATGATGGGCCCAAGTTTTGAAGCGTGGGCTTGAGTCTTAGCTGTCTTATGTGCCAGTCTTGAGACCCTGGGCATGTTATTCCTGATTTTTTTATTCCTTCTTCTGTAAGACTGAGATAATACAAATGCCACAGAGTGGCATTAGAAATAACACACAAACAATGGTGCTGAGTACAAGGTAAGTTTCAAATTGTTGTGATTATGTAATAAATATAAACTGTTAAGAGCAGAAAGGTGCTACTTAGGTGAAACCAGGTAAGACAAATGAGGAAGGAGGACTATTAAGAGTCAACCTCTTCTCTAAATCACTTAGTTCTCAGTTCACTGTTTAGTGTCACTGGATCAAATTTATTTCATCTACCACACTCAGTATCAAACCTACTTTCCAGCTGGGCATGGTGGCTCAAGCCTGTAATCCCAGCACTTAGAAGGCTGAGGCAGGAGGATCACCAGAGGTTCGAGGCCAGCCTGGGGTACACAGTGAGATGCTGTCTCGAACAACAAAACAAAAAACTCTATTTTCCGTTTCACTAATGACTTTTTCTTTTTAAAACAAAATCTCTTTTCAACAAGATCAGATTTCTTTCACTCGTGCTAAAAGCTACTCACCAAAACACACCTGGAAAAGAGTAGGATTCTACCTACTTTGTGAACACTGAGCTAAACCCCCGGCCCCTCAGATTAATAGGAGGTAAGCACCAACTTCCCACTCAGCTGCAGAGGCTCCTTACACATGTGGATCTGTCCAAATGGTTCTGCACCGGCCCTGGTTTCTATGGTAGTGCTTCTCAAGTTTCAATGCACGTCTCAGTATGTCTCATTATGATGCATATTCTGATTCAGAAGATGTGGGGAGTACCTTGAGACTCTAAGGAGTGCCCAGATGGCAGAGTGCTGGACCACACTTAAAAGCAGCCCACACTACTGGGCAGGACAATTAAAGGTCACAAACCAAGGACACAGCATTGCACAATTCTTGGTACTTAAAAACAAAATAAAGGCAGCAACTGTCACCTGACTCTGTTTTGAATACATTAGTGAGTTATATAAACAGCATAAACCAATGCTGATTTTCATAAGGAAAATGACTTAAATATAAAATAAAACTAAATTTAACATGCACAGGGACTGCTACCACTTTCTCGAGCTGAAAATATCCTCTCCATCCCCCAAGCTCAGTTTCTTTATGCTTTTTTCTTTGCTAGATCACAGGCTTCCTTTGGGTGATGAAAACACATGCCAAGACGATGCCGGTGTCTCTGGTTGAGATGGACTAAGAGAAATATCACACTGCTTTAAGAAAGCTGGAAAAGTTGGCAGTAACAGTATAACAGATAAAACGAATAATCAAGCACCCAGGGTTTTTGAAAGGCTGACGTGCATTCTGTAACTGTCACTGATTTATGTGAAGTCTGACCTTTAAGGACTGAACAAATGAGCAAACCATCTCAGGGACATTTTCCATGTTACATTCGAGGCTTTATACAGCAGTGATAAGAAAACAATGTGTCCCAAAACACCAAAAAGTACTGTGGGCATATGGGTGGAACACAGGGCTGGAGCCAGACAAACAACCCTGCTGCCCACACCACCATCATTTCACCAGCTGGGTGACCTTGCTCGTGCAGTCAACCATCAAAAGTCTTCCAAACAGACATACTACTTCATCCTCTACTAACTCACATCCGGTCTAGTATTCACCCCTGTGTGCTCTAAGAAGGAGCCACTCTTGAGGCTTACAAGTAACTGCTGATTCTCCTAACGCTGTCGTGGCAAACCTATGGCATGCATGCCGCTGCAGATTGGATCACTGAACGCTCTGAAAGGTTTCCTATCACAGACCCATTGCCAAAGATAGACTTAAAAACATAAGCATGAGATGTAACTGCTGGCACATTTATACCACTAAACTGACCAGCTCTGGAAGCACTTTAATCTGAGCCTTTGAGGACAGATGATACCTTGGTACTGCTTTGAAACTTGCCAACTTTGGGACCCGACTCATTCTGACTTGAAAATTGGTCCCTGTACTCGTTTGTTTGCTACTCCACACGCATGCTAAAGCTTACTGGTGACCTGCTACCCTTTACAGTCAAAACAATTTGGTACTTGTCAAAAGCAATTAATAACAAGTACCAAGTACCATTGTATGTGGAGTATACTTTCCTGCAGCCAAAAACATGACTGATCTACTGGCTAGGACATAATGAATAGTAAATATATTTACTGTTATTCAAATTATTTCCAGTTCATTTCTGGGGTCTGCTATGTTACCTGGTTCTGCAGTAGTGATTCTCAGAGGCAGTCTGGTGTATGTGATCCCTAGTACCTTTAAAAAGCAGGCAGTCAAAAATACGTATGAGCATGTGTCTCCTCCGTAAAAGAGGAGACTGGGAGAGAAGAGGACAATTCAATGATTGAATAAAGCCATTCAATTCTCACACCTCGGAAAAGCTGCAAGCAGGAAAGTATGGCATTCTCCTTTGGGAAGTAAGAACCGCCTGTTCTTAACTCCTGTTGGGGAAGGGAACCACCTGTTGAGCAGTTTAAGACTAGATTCTATATCCCTGTTCAGCCTACGTTTTCACAAGAGCCCAGGCAACTGATGTAAAGGCACCCAGGTGGCTCCATGGACCACATTCTCAGAAAGATCGTTTGTTTTCTCGAAGTTTGAAATCCTGAAGTTTGTTGTTTTCACTCAACACAGCCACGTCATCCACTCACAATCCCCCCACCCTTCTGCTGTGACCGTGCGTGCCTGATACACTGTGTTCCGATGCAAGGTCAAGGGACAGCCACACGCCATGTATTTCTTTGTTGACTTTCTATTTACAAAACAAAACGCAAATGCAAAAACAGCCATTCGACTTGGCTGTGCCCTGCTGTTTACACCCAGTCCAGTCCACTCACCACTGACGTGCAAGGCTTTCCCTCTTGCCTTCCACCACCCAAGTATTCCAGGGAGCGTTAAATGCCGTCAGAACCTCAGGATACTTCCGGTAAGACGCCAACTCGGTTGCCTGGCGTTGCTCGGGTCCGTAACACACCTCTGTTCCCAAAGGAGCACGCATCCCACATTCCAGCATAAGTGCGGCCCTCGCTCGCCGAGCAGCGCGTCCCCAAACCCCGCTTCGCCGCGCTACCTTCCCATCCAGTCTGGGTGCGCTTACCTGAAGCACGTGGTGAGCTCGCCCGAGGGCTTCAGGCACGGGTATTTGGTAGTCTCGATTTTGTTTTCTGAGCAGATTTCTCTACGAAAGAGTCGGAGACGAGAGGCTGAGGATGGTGAGCGGGGGCGGAGCGCAGTGTGGTCTCCGCATCTGCGTCTGGGAGCGCGGGGCAGGCGCTGGTCCCTGTGCGCTTAAGCGGAGCTGACTCGGAGGACAGGACCAGCCAGGGCAGGGTCGCCGCAGAGCGAACCCAGCCCCAGGCGCAAGGCTGAGGCAGCGGGGCGAAGGGCATCACAGCGCCCGGCCCACAGATAGGGGAAGCCCAGGTTAAGAACGAGGAGGCTGTTACCCAAGGGCACAGTTAGAAGTCGCCCGGGACAGCTAAGCAGTAGCCTGAGGATGTGGACGGGAGACAGGGCGCGCGAATCGCTGCGGAGGTGGGCAGTGGGGGAACCGCCCGCACCCCGCCAGCCGGGCGCGCACCGCGCAGAGAGCTCATTCTCCCGGGCGCTGGGACGCGTACCTGTCGGCGTCCTCGGGCTCCTCTCTGTAGGTCCACGAGTGTCCCAGCGCCAGGAGCAACAGCAGCGGACCCAGGCTCCTGCCCAGATGCCCCCTGGCCGTTCCTCCCCGGCTCGAAGGAGGCGGCGGCACCATCAGGGTAGCTCCCGGCTTCTTCCCCGCGCCCGAGCTCGCTCTCCCCGCCCTGAGCTCCGCTTCTCCGCGCGGCCGCCGCTTTCCCTCTCCCCGGAAGGGGACGCCGGAGAGCAGGGGCGCTTGCGCCACCTGCACGCCGCCCAGGGGCTTCGGACGCTTAGCGGCCGGGGTTGGGTGGGTGGAGGATCAGGCTAATGGGAGTCGGGATGCTGACTGCAAACTCGGCAGGGAGACAGGTAAAAGTGTTTTCTGTGGTTCGCGGCCGCAGCGAGGATCCCGGGCCCAGAGACGCTCGCGCTGAATTGACACACTGGCTCGACGGGGCTGCCTTCCCCTCGTCCCTCTTCCTCCTCCGGGAGTGGAGCGCAGGGTGTGGTAAGCAGGCGTTGTTTGCATGTTGCACCAGGGTCGCATGCCTAGGAGAGGGAGGAGCTGATTCTCACCGGGGGAAGGGGAGGGGAGGAGAGGGGCGAATACGCGTCTTCCTGTTGTCTGTTGATTTCTGAAACCCAAGGCCAAGCCCACTTTTGCGTTTCCCCCCTGCGGACCTACACGGTGCCTCTCCACGATCAGTGGTTTTATTTTACCCTCGGAATATAGAAGGAAAGAGGGAGTTGAGAGGCTACAAAGGATTTCCCAAATCGTCCTATCAATAAAACATAGTCTTCATTAAAATTCCTTGGACAGTAGTCCTCCGGTCCTTTCATTTGTTTACAGACTATGCCGCTGTTTTCATAACTCCAAGTTCCAGGCAAGCAAGGAACTTTCAAAGGTGGTTCCAGGAGTTTTACATCGTCCTGCCCGGAGCTGCTTTTCTGCTTTCCGACCTACGCGCAGAAGGAGGGCTGGAAGTGCCTAGCACCGGGAGACAGCTGGGGCCAGGAGGGAGCTCCGGGTACTCCCAGGTCCTGCGCCCACCAGGTCTATCAGCCTTGCTTGTAGAGGACCTGTAAAGCGGGGTAGGGGGCAATTGTAATTCATATAAATGTCCATCTCAGTGCCGTTGCACGTTAGTTTTCTTTGCTTGTCAAAGAGGAATTCGTGACACAGACGTGCATGAAAGCAAGCGGATGTGATCTAGGAAGTACTTTGAAAGCAAGAGGTTTGATATTACTGCCCAACCCTACACTGGTGTGTTGCACGCCCCAGGACAAGGTGACACTGAAATGCGTCCACAGATTACGTGCGTGCACACTGGTAAATAAGCAGCTGTTTCGATCAATACAGTATTTTGGCCAGCTAAAAATTATCCCACACATCACATACACATTGACAGTTTTATAGCAGTGACATCCACATTCTTCTGCAGAATGCTTTATATTTTTCAAAGGTCGTCCATATTTATGATTTTTATCTGATTCTCGCGATATCCCTTGAACCTAAGCACCTCATTTCTTAGTTCAGTGAGGTGTTTTTTTTTTTTTTTCCTACAGAAATTACACAGAGGTGGGAGACATAAAGCACACTCGATATTAAAATATGGTGCTGCTAGTTAACAAACTTAATTTTCAAATAGTACTTCAGCAGGCATTTCAGAATCCTACAGAATTTGAGAGTAATCATTGTGGAATCAGGAACAAACTTACCTTCAAACCCACACATGATGGGTTTGTAGGTGAGTGAGTGACCTCAGGCAGTTACTTTACCTTTCTGAAATTCAGTTTCCTCTCCTGTAAAATGGAGGACTCCGCCTCATAAATTTTCTAAATATCAAATGAAATAGTGCATAGAAATCAGTTTAGCACAATGCCCAGAATACACTCTGCTCAGTAGCCCTTAACTCATTACTTTAACATAAACTATTGCACTGCACAGAAATTTAAGTTTTAGGTTTCTTAGCTTTCTAGCCTTTTACTGTGTAGATATATAGCAGTCTGTTTGGGTTCCTAAGGAGAGACCTCACTAAGCACATGAAAAATAAACTCATCCTGGAGCTTATGAAAAATACATTACTTTAAATTGTCATAACAGTCTTTGATCTCCTCTTGGAAGGAAGAGCCATCCTGCAAGCAGGAGGTTCCATTTTTATTCTTTCCAATTCCTCTATTTTGGAATAATTTGCATTCCTTTTTTCCTCATCTTGTTTTCCTACGATTCTAGTGTGGCTATTAGTTCTAAAGGAATAGAGCATAATGTTAGAGATAGTTGTTGGCTTCATTAAATGGTACTTAATAAGGCATGTGTCCGGACATGCAGATTTTCAAGAAAAGCAATGCAAGCTGCAAAGTGATAAAAGCAGAACCACATCCATAACATGCAGAAAACTGCTGAGAAGGCTGCTTTTCTGTCTCTTTATTGTTAGTCACCTACACTGAGCATCTATCTATAAAGACGAACACTAGGGAAAGTGCCAGGCTAAGAAAACAGGCCAGATTTGACTGGGGAGGAATCTCATGGGTGGGTGGTCAGAGCATTTCTGCAGGAGCTGAGCTGCAACTAAGACCTTTTGAAAAACTGTTGCCTGCAGGCCTGGAATTTCAACTGGTTGTCAGCTACTGATAGCAGACGTTTACTGCTCCACGATGTGGGGGCTGGGCAGGAGCGTGCGGTTAGACTAAGGAGATGAGGATGGCCATTTATGGAGAGTGGTGACTGAAGAGTGAAACCACCCTGCAAAAGACAGAGCTGCATTTGCTTAGGTTGCAACCTGCTGGGGAGGTGCCAGTGCCGAGGCTCTCTGTGGTAGGAACCTCAAGGGTTTCAGCTTTTTTCTCTTTGAACCGGCACTCTCTGCCCAACTCTGCCCAACCACAGGCCTGCTCCCGATGCTCTTCCCCATGAACCACTAGACTAGTACGAGAGATCTTGCCCCTTGCTTCTTTCATAGGAGTGTTGCAAAGATTAATGATACAGAGCTAAATGCTCCTGAAGGGAGGCCTTGTGTGATTATTTCTTTTCAGCATACCACTCGGCAATATTTTCCATAAAGACCTGTCAGCTGTCCTGAAACAAACCAGAGAGTGGGAAGTTACACAATTTATCGTGTCCTAGGGGCTTGGGGCTGTGCCTGGGGCTCTGTAGCGCAGTGTGTGCTAGAGGTTAGATCCCTGGTGGAACAGGTATTATTAGGCAGTACTGCTGAGTGTTTTCTGGAAACCAGTGAGATTGGCTGTCTGGAGAAGAGAGGCCAACATTCAAAAGCAACGCAAAGGCTGAGGGTATAGCTCAGCGGTACAGCTCATTTTCAGCAAGTACAAAGCCCTGAGTTGATCTCCAGCACCACAAGAAGAGAATGTGGGTGGAGACAGAAATGGAGAGGAAAAGAAAGAAGAAAAGTGAAAGGAAAACAGAAAGTGAAAATTAGGTTGGCCAAGGTACTCAATTTTCAGGGCTTCCAACGTCTTATTCTTTAAAAAAATCTGCGTAGTGTTAGGAAAGAAAGATAAGTTACAGTGCTATAAAGAGCAGACCACCCCATTTGGGACATTCAAATTCCCTATTTGTTTAAATTTTTCCTTAAAGATTTGTGGCTCACAAAAATATGCCTTTTTTAGTGTGTGTATAGTATCAGATAAAATGAGATAAAGCAGTTATGAGAAAGGAAAAAATCAAGATTGAATAATAAAACTGAAGTAATGTTAACATATATATCGAAAAAACTGTCTAAGCGGAAAGTCCTGTGCTACATTTAAAGCAGATCACAAATCAATTCTCAGATTCTCAAAAGTCAATTCAGGATAATTACATGATCATTTACAAGAGTTAAGGTAAGAGTAAAGGAAAGACCTATAAATTGCTTTTTTAAAAATAACGTAGTTTCCCGCTGGTGTCCTTGAAATGTAGAAACAGTCACATAATGCTAAGGTGTTTTTCATAAAAACAAGATTCACCAAGGGTGAGTAAAGTTGATCCTGTACTGAGAAGGATCAAGATAAACTACTCCTAAAATAAGTAGGCTGCCCTGATAACTTTCCTTCAATTTAAGTTTTGATTGACATACAGCCAGGTCTGCTTAGAACATTAGGGTTACATTTTAAAGTGCTGAACTGCCCTAGTCTCCAAGCCATTCTAAGGGACTGCTTGAGACAAAAAGAGTCAAAATGTTCTTAACACAGTGAGTTTAACAGCCCTGGTTAGGGGGTGTGTACGTTACCTCCACACAAAGCCAGTCAATTACAAGTTCTGAAAGTTTACCAAAGCTGTAGGTTTCTGGAATTTCCTCTCTAAACAGAAAAAAAGCAGTCAGATTTCTTTGTCTATGATGGAATCTCACAATTTTACCCAATTTTGAAGCAGAAGCAATTGTAAAAGATTAGTTGGACTTACATGGAGATAGGCCACTTTACATGTGTGAACAATATGAGAAACTTGATCTTTGATTATATGTCTCAGGATATTAAGAAAAATTGTTCATGTGATATGGGTATCATATTTGTTCTTGAAAGTGTTAACACATAATACACACACATGCATGAGCATGTGCACACACCCACACACAACCACACACAGTGTTCCAGTCTAATAATAGTTTCTCCTACGGGAAGGCCTTGTTGCAACAGTAGTAGTACTATAAGTGGTCTCCTTGGCCAACCAGAGCTGTAGAATAAAACCTAGGATTTTTGGTTGGAGAAGTATATCTTAAACACTACTCAGTTCTGCAGCTCTTTTTGGCACTAATGGGGGCTGTGTGACACATAGCTGAGGAAGCCCCTTGTGGAACCCACCAGTGGAAAAAAGGTACCCACAGTATAGGTGGGGCTTCTGGCCCAGGTTGTAGGTCCCTGATCGAGAAAATGGCATTAAAATTGTCCCAGCATTTGTAAACTTGTTCCTTTGAGTGTCTATCATTCCAGTACCAACAACACCTCTGCTTTTCTTTTTGGTACCAGGAATCGAACTCACAACCTTGCATTTGCCAGGCAGATGCTGTGCCACTGAGCTATATTCCCTCTGCTTATTTTTATAAAGTGAATGCTATTTATGTCCCTTAGTTCTACAAGGAAAAGAGTTATTTAATATTTATTGAGACTGGTAGATACTCAACTCAGAAATATATCATGCCAGTTTGACAGGTAATACAAAAAT